ATGAATTTCTTTCTAAGAATATAATGTAAAGACATGAAGCGATATGATTTAAGGCATAACATTTTTCTTTGCTATATATATTATATAAATAATTATATCGTTAAATTCAAACTGGCGGACTTTTATCGACAGTTTTATATTTTACGACTTTAATTAGTCCCTTAGATATATAAATAATTAACTGCGATCTGAATCAATATTTTGATACCTTGATACCTCGAATTTATTACACAACGTGAGTAGCAATGCACCATTATCTAGCACTGATTAAACTTGTTAATGATGCTTCCAAACTTTGATTAAATGGAAAAAACTAAATGTTACTCATACAATGCTTTTTGCAGTATATATATAATTATATGTTGTTAAATTAGTTAGTGGCAATTAAACATTTTATTTTTGTACACAATATTATTTTTATTAATGGCAACGCATGCAGATCGAATATGATTTTTTCGACTAATGTTGCGCCGAAATTTATCAGACTACTTGATAACGCTACTTATAATGAGTAAATGACTCTATGAATGTAAGGTTAAACATTATCTTACTGTAAAGGTTGCGGGTGGCGATTGCTCGGCGGCGGTGCCGTTTGAGCGGTCGATGTTGATGGTGCACTCGCACTGCTAACTCGATGAACGTGCAGCTGATGTATCTGCAATTGCGCCGCGTCTTCGCCAAGGAACGAGCATCTCGAGCATTGCCTCCTGTTGTGTACTTTGAGCACGTGCGTTGAAAGCCGCTCGGCGCGGGCTGCTTTGTACTCGCACAAACTACACGCAAAGGGCTTCGTGTGGGTGTTCAAATGCCGCTTCAGACACCAATTATCAACGCCGCTCCATGGACAGTACACGCAAGTGTACCTTAAAAATTAAGAATTGTTAATTTTTAAATGTATCGCAACAACGCGTACTATATTAATTATATATCGTTGCAATTACAACAATCGCGTTATGGAAGGATATTACAGAACGAATCAATGATAGCTAATAGAAATTATCACAGAAATTGGCTTTTTACACTAGAAGAAAATCCGATTTTAATTAAAAGAAGAAGAAATTTGGAAAGTCACAATCAAGATGTGACAAAAACAAATTGAGAAATGAACCTTCGTTCCTGCGCGCTCTTGGAGCCACCTTTAAGATGACTTTTGCTATTGCAACCGCCGTTTTGTACGCGCCTGCCCGTGTTGCAATTATTCGTATCGGGTTGCATGATTCCTCCCGACGCGGGCATGGCTGTCGTTTGATAAATACCGATAGTGCCGGTACCCGATGTAGCGACATTCGGCTGTAACTGATAACCCTTGTTGGTAGCGAAAGTTGATTGACAATTGATGTGTTGCTGCTGCGGTTGCTGCTGGCTACTCGCATTGGCAGTCGCCGCTGTTGGCGTTATCGCTGTGTCCTGCTGCAACGGTTTCGATGCACTTCCCATCGGTCTTCGTATTTTCGAGACCTCGTAAACATGATCGCGATGCATTCTCATGAAATGCTTCTTTACGTGATCGGCGCGATTGAAGGGTTTGAAGCAGATGTAACAGTGAAACGGCTTCTCCTCGCGGTGGATGTTCTCGTGTCGCGTGTAGAGATCGCGTCTGTCAGTTCCATAAGGACAGTATGGACAAGTATATCGTTTACCACTCACGGATGCTGTGGCGGAGGTGGTCATCGTAGCTGTATTCTATGACAATTTATATATGTTGCGTTATATTATCTTTAGCAATAAACGTAAATAGGGTGTCTACTGGAAAAACATGGAAAACTTTCTTGGAATTTATTTTGTACCTGGAGAAATCAGAGAATTCTCATAGAATTTTTTATATATAGGGTAACACGCAACGACTGTCCCTTAGGTACATAGCGTTATTTCTTACCAAAAACTGAGTTCTGTGAACCGCGCGCCTAATACTGTGCGTGAGCGCTCGGCGGCACACATTATCAGGCGCGCTCATGGACGTGCATCCGACTAAAAGTCGGCGCTGATTCGCCCGACTATACTCAATAATAACTCCTTTATTAAATCTTTATAGAAAAAAATGGTTTAGGACTTTTCGACTCAATCTTTGGTAAGGAATAACGCTATATATTAGTAGGCGTTCTTTACGTGTTACCCTGTATATATTGAGACTTAGGGAATTTTTTAAAAAATCCTCTCTGATAATCTTGCTCCTATATTGTAAGCAGTCGGCAATTTAAAATATATTACAAATATATATTTATCTTTGCTTATATATCCAATGTTTTAACAAAATATTTAATATATGTAATACATATTCTGTATTGTAATTTTTAGTCATTAGAATTTAGCATTAGAAAACGCATAGAATAAAAAAACTTATTTTAAAAAATGCACCAAAAAATTTTTAAAATATTCTTTTTATTTGGAAATTTGAACAAAGATACCTGGAAGTTCAGGGAATCTTCAGGACATTTTTTTAAAAGATTCGAGTGGACATCTTGGTTTAAATTAAAAAGCATATATATGCTGCACATGAACAGTTACTATGATCTCGTCAATTTTTTTGAATTTTTTTAACGTTTATATAAATTCATAACAAATGTAACACTTATGTTTATTCTTATATATGTTAAACCAATGAGTTTATCTTTTTAAATTGTCGAACAATTATTGTGAGTTTATAAATAAAATTGTTGGAAACCTTTCGCGATTTTTAAAAATGAGATGAGATAATTTCATATACCTGCATAAAAGATCTGAAATTTAATTCAGATACCTGTTGCAGATGCTGCGGCGCAGGAACGGATGGCAGTTCTTGCAGGAGAAAGCTCGAGGTAACAGGCAATAAAGCCGCAGGTACAGTCTGTGTTTCTTGGGTTCTTCTGGAGGGAGGTGCCGCCCGTTCGGCGCGTTCACGGAGTCTCTCTAAATACATGACTACATCCTCGGCTTTAAGATCTGCTTGCAAATAATCCTTGCGGGGCGAGTGATGCCTGTTTCTACTATTATCGGGCAGGATCCTCGAGGAGTGATGTTCCATGAAATGCTCTGCAATCTCACGTGGGCTACCTGCCATGACATCGCCTGTTGGCATAAGGTCAATTAAATTCCGAAATACATTCTTATGACAAACTACAAAGTTATAGAACTTTATACTGTCTCGCAAAGGTTAATCCTACTAAATTTAATTTAGATTTATATTTCATTTAGTTACATTAATAACTGCAATGTAAATGTATTAAAGAATACAATAATTTTAGCATATTATTTAGTTTAGTAGCGCCAAGTTTTTTTAATTACAATTTTTGATTTTATTTGATTTGTATAAATTTTTAATTTTTGTATAAATTTTTAATTTTTTGTATTAATTTCTAAGTGTTTTAATTTTTCTATTAATTTTTTATTTTATGTTTTTTGTGTTTTGTATTATTGGATATATTTTTTTTATTATTGAAAATAGATAAATTTCATCAAGTGAAATAATAATTTTGAAATATATTTTATTTTTTTACTAATCAAAATATTCTATATGTTTATGATAAGATGTTTTTATTCTGTTCGATATATATGTTTACTATAAGATAATACGTGCGTGTATATATGTGTGTGTGTGTGTGTGTGTGTGTGTGTGTGTGTGTGTGTGTGTGTGTATTTTATATCTGATGTAACTATCCACAAGTATTACGAAGAATTTTCAGCTTTATTTTTTTATAAATGATAGCATACTATGTACGCTATATAACACTGCATTCTTGATGCCAGAATTCAGACTAGCAACACGACTTTGTAGTGGAGGTGATACACGCATAAGCGTGAACCGTGTAGATATATAGGGGAAAATAGGGTAAAACCAGGTACCTTTTGAATTTGTCTTCCTACAAAAAATCAGAGGGCAAAAAAATTCTGCTGGTCGTTAGTAATCTTTAATGAACCTTGAACTATGAGAAAATGAGGCTAATTGCTGAAAAAAAATATTGTTTACCAAGGATAACAGGATTTTTTGAAGAAGTCAAAATACTCAGTTTTGTCCTACAGGTAGGATAAAATCAATTACCCATTTAAAAACATCTAAAATACCGCGCGATTACAAAATTTTTATTTATTTTAATCAAAATATTCAGGACTTTATATTATTTAATGTTTTAACTTTAGGAATCTCAAAAAGCTATTTTTTTTTTAATGTTTTCTTTTTCTGAGTGGCAGTCTCCACTTCCAACTGCTTTTTGTAGAGAGACAAAATCAGAATGGCAGTTTTTCCTCTTTTCATTATATGAGATATGTAGGTACTCGGTTTTGCCTCAACACGAGGAAAATAACAAACATGGCGGCTGTACATTCCAGCGTAGAAAGTGAGGATCAAAACTAGTGCGATATACTATCTAATACATACAGAATGCAATGCTGCATTTACCAAAACAGATGCTTTGTGTAGAAAAAATTCACGACGACTCGATTGTTGCCCCAATATCGATCTTTTTCGGCCCGAAAACTTTGAATTTTTCCCCAAAAAGAAATATTGTGTGCACGTGGCCACGATTCATCTTAAAATAATGATGGCGTCAATTTACAACTAATAACACGAGTTGGCCAAAGATAGTAGCATTTATCACGAAGAAACAGAGATACCCGGTTTTATCCTATTTTCTTCTCTGTGTGTGTGTGTGTGTGTATATATTTCATACCTGATGTAACTATCCATAAGTATTACGAAGAATTTTCAGCTTCATTTTTTTATAAATGAAAGCGTGTACGTACGCTATATAACACTGCACTCCTAATGCCAGAATTGAGACGCTAGCAACACGGTTTTGTAGTGGAGGGGATACGAACACAAGCGTGAACCGTATATATAATGCGCAGAGCGCTCTGCACATTGCATGTACACGGTTCACATTTGTGTGCGTATCCCCTCTACTACGGAATCGTGTTGCTAACGTCTCAATTCTGGCATCTTCTATCGCAAACTTAACCTATACCTGCTTTTTATTGAATAAAGAATAAATGAAGGAGCATTTACCGAATTTGATATATAATTTACTACATAAATCTATCGCACATATATAAATTTAAAAAAATATGTTAATCTATTGCATAGCATGTGATAAAATATTCTCACATTTACATTGACTTAAAATTTTCCAGAAGATTTAAAATGCAAAGAATTTACATGATTTCTCAAGCATTGTGTATATTGCATTTCATTTTATATTTTTTCGCGTGCACACGTAATGAACTAATCGAGCCTCGTTATACAATCGTATCAAAGAGCTTGCAGTTATTGGAGATTTGTAACATTATAAAAATTTCGAATTAGGATACATATTTATATTGCTAGATAATATAAAAACTGCAAATGGTTTCCTAGAAAAACGCGAGAACCATGAGATATAGCCGTATAAGATAATTGTTCAAAACGGTATGATCGGTAATTAGCAGGGGAATTTTTCTCGCTATCTACCCTTACTAATCAACTTATTTTTATCTTGTATCAGTTAAACTTTTTACATGGTTAGAAAATTACTCAGCTATACTCTGAGTGCTCCATCGATCAAGACCTTTAAGCTTATGGAGATTGTAAACAAGTTAGCTTTGCAAAAAAAATTTTTAGAGAGGTTTATAGAACGTTATTTTAGACACGACAGTACATTCAAATGCGTTCGCTGAATATTGTTGCAAAAGAAGACATTTAGCAATGCATATATCGGATGTACTTACCACATTCGTCACATCGCCATGTAGCTTTTCCGGCGTGATAAGCTGCGATTCGGCTTCCATCAGTGCCTTTTAACGGTTCCTCGTCATACGTCCAGTTTCCATCGTCACTGCCGTCTGTACCATTTTCGGTATCTTCGTCGTTTTTGTACGAAACAGACGTTTCAAATTCGTTTTGCACGCTCGACGCTGCATAAACGAGATTGTGATAAATAACATTGAGCTCTTTGTATTCACACACACACAATGGTGAAAAAATGCATCACTCTTTTATACAACAAAGCGCTCGTTAAACCGTATTATATTACTATCGATTTAGATATTAATTTAATTTTCAATAGTAAAAATTAATTGCAATTTCAAACGTTTAAGCAGATTGTTAGTTATAAATGAAATTATCTTGATTGTCTATTCATATAATTAACGTTGAGCAATCAATCAGATAATGAAATATCAAATTTTAATTTTGAATGATAGTTTTAAATTATAAAATTGCATTGAGCTTATGAGTTACACGCGTATAACTGTAACTGCATTCCAATGGTGCATGTGTGTCGCGTAGGAAAAGATATTTGCTATATAATTCGCAATTACATATATGTATAAATATAATTGATTATACATTATAATATTATTGAGATAATCTTAATAAATATAATTAACAGTTGATAATTTTGAAATGTTCATAGAACGCAATAATTTTTATCGTTAGTTTATTCTTGAATTCTAGAAGAAACTTTAACTTACTTCTATGATCGGGATCTTCGCCGTAAAGTTTTCTAGTGATTTCCTTAAACATATCCTCGTAGCAATCAAGCCTGCTAATTCCGGTGCCACTCCCCTCCATTTTACAGCCTTAACGGTCACTTACACAGAAATAATAAATCTTTTCCTTTTGTGTTGTGTTCCTAGGCAATCCGTCTACCTGCGTGCCGAGTCGTCGTCAAAGAGACCTAAACTTTAAAGAAAATTTCTCTGTTCTATTTTCGGCATAGTTTATACGTTGAGTTAGAAGTTTCTAGTTATAAGTTCGCAATGCCAGAAGCACGTTACATATTTGCGCGAATACTGTATTTTACAATTTCAAGATGACAACAAGAACTATCAATGATATTCATACCATGTATTTTAGACCATATCCATAGTATTATGTAAATTTTGAGATTTTATAGATATAACGAATCTCACTAATTAATAAATGCAATGTAATTGTCAGTAAGGTTTATAGTATTAATTTTAGATTTATAATTATTTTTTACTCTTATTCACGATTAGCGTTATACGCGTTTGATTGCGTAAAGTTTTGCTCTCTATCGACGATATAACCGTGTGAACATATTTCACCGTGCGTGCATGTGCCACGACAAATAGAAAATAAATACATTCAAATTCTCGGGGGTGTTTCCTAAAGTGTAAACATGTGGGATAGCATGGCAGAGAATGAGGGGAAATAGTGTGCAAAATTTCATAACGGACATGCTAACAATTTCTCTGGGATACTATGAGTATTAAATTCGAAATAGTTAGACAATGCACAGGGTGAGTTATGTTACCTAAACAGACTTTCTCTTTTTCACGGTCATTGGTAGAGAAAAACATTGTAGGTTTAATGATCTCTAAGTTCTTATCGAACTATTTTTTTCCATACAATACAATAATACAGCTTTAATATGTGTATGTATAATTACATATTTTTAATATTTCTAACTTATGTGTTTTTTCTTCATATCTTAACCAATTTCTTATTGTAGAAATAAGATTTCTTTTAGAGTAAAAGATATTTCGTTTATTTAAAGGATTTCCTTATTTTCTTATATTTTTCTACTTATTTAAAATTATCAATTAATCGATATTTAAACTAAAAACAAAACTACTTGTAACTTCTTTCGAAAAAATATATAATGTGAGGATAGATCCTTCAATTAAATTACTAGGTTTTTAAATTCTGAAAGTAATTTCTATAAAATTATTCTTCGAGAGTTATGTTTTCTTTTTCTTTCTTTTATTTTTAACGATTATTCTTGCTCTGTCTTAAAATCTCTAATTACAATGAGAATGGTTTTAAAAAAAATATTACATATTCTTTGTGTTTCAAGTTTTATTCTTGAAGATTGTCTTCTGCAGATAGTTTTATTTTTTTATGTATCTTTTTCAGATTTATTATAAACATTTAGCTATTGACTTTTACCTATCTTATATACCGTCTGTCTTGCTTTCGTGTTCCGATTGATTTCGATCGAATGATGCATGCACAAAAATTTGGCACCGCGTTCTGCAGGAGTGGCGACAGCATCCGGAATGAGGAAGGAACGAGCGGGTATTGATCGTCACGATTGCCGCTCGAGTAACTGGGAGGGGAAACGAACAACCCTCTACTGACAACCCCGCAACATGTGTGCGTGCACATAAACCAAGTCGGTTGTGTACGTAGATGTGGAGGGGAAAGCAAGAACGTTGAATCCATGGAAGGGGTTACTGCGAAGAATAAATCAATATTCCCCTCTACCGTCGGTCGAAAGCACGTCCCCTAGAAACGACAGATGGTGGCGCGTGGAGGGTGTCTGGACTATACCGGTGGAACTTCACGTTTCTGCGCCGGTTGAGAACCTCTGCGTCATAGCACAGAGAAAAAGAGTAGGAAAGTTCGGCGAGGAAAAGAGAAGGAGAAGGAGAAGAGAGGGAGAGATGACACGACGGCGAGAACATGGTCGTTCGGCATAAAGGCAGAGACACAGTCCTGACGAGAAAGAGAAAGAGAGAGAACGAGACAGATGGATGAATAGATAGACGGAGAAAGGAAAAGAGCGCGAGCGAACGAGAGTGATCGGGAAGCGAAGGAGAGAAAGAGAGAGAGGACATGCGTGCAATCAGCCATTCAAATTCATCCGGAAATTATTGCCGGCTAACCAAGGACGCCAAGCAGATCTTCTCCGACGCTCGCGCGCGTGTATTCGTAAATACATGCGCGACTGCACACACGCGCGCGCACGTATGGCCATCCGTCCAGCCGAGAAAGATCCCTTCCTTTCCGCTTCGTTCTCTCCTCTCCGCTTCTCCGGAAGCGGCGCGCGGCTAAACCTTCGTCCCCAGCCATCATCGTAATGCTGTCTTCGTCCCGTCGTTGTCGCGTATGCGCGCACACATCGTGAAGAAAAAAAAAAGCTACCACCCGCATCATAATTATTCGCGTTGAACATCGCGCATACGATATTGCGGAAAACCGCGCGAACAGGCCGTTCTCGTGCTTCCCGCGCTGAGAGATGTTCTCCCAGCGCAATATATACTCCTCTCTCTTTCTCTTTCTCTTTCTCTCTCTCTCTCTCTCTTTTTCTTTCTATCCGTCGCACGGGTGCGCGTCGAACACCGACGAACACACGGACCTCGCAGATACAGCCGCGCCGCGCGCACTTCTCGATAGGTATTCGCGTGCGGCCTATTCGCGATACACACAATACGGCGGCCGCGGCGGCCTCTCCTCTCGCTCTCGTTTGTGCGCGACCCGGCATCATTCAGAATCGCTCTCTCGCGTTCGGTTCTCGCTCTATCCGCTCGCTCTACTTCTTCGTATCCCTTCTCACCGTCCTACTTTGCACTTTCTCCCGATCGTTCGTTCTCAACGCGCAACACAGTGGAAGAAGTGGAACAACACACATCTCGAGAGGAACGTGTCCTTGGCGAAGACACCGTGTCATAGCTGATACCGTACTGATACTGGATGATGATGAACACCCGAATACATGACGAACGACGACGGACAGGACGCAAGAGCACACAAAACGAGCACGAAGCCTCACGGATACACTGAGACGTTTTGAGCACAGGAAACTGGCAGATCTTAGGATTTACTTACGTTCTTATGCCGGTGGTGAAGACGAAGTGGATGGAAATCGTTGTTCGAGAAAACGTTATGCTGGTTCGGTTGCAGGTTGTTTCCTCGACGGCAGTCGGGTGGCGAGTGGGTGGGCAGGCGGGGTGGCAGGCGGATAGAAGTGGGTGGCTTGAGCGGGTTGGGAGTAGCGGCGTGTGGGTGGTGGGAGTGGGGTGAGGGAACCCAATACCACCCTCCTCGCCCATTCAATCCTCTGGTATTAGGGGGAGCAGTCGAGCCTGTTCCCAACTGCCCTCCCTCCCACCATACATCCAACAGCCCACCACACACCAACAGCTGGCGACGATAGACCCGTTTGTGCGTGTGCGTATAGACTCTGTCTCACACGTATACACCCACCAAACGCACACACATATCCACCTTCGAGCCTCCCTGCACGTCTATCTCTCTACACGTGTTCACTACGCAGCCAAGCACTCCAGGGGCGAATTAGGCAGTAAGAGAGAAGGAGAGGAATTGAAAGAGACGACGGGAGATCCGGGAAGACCTTCCAGATCCCTTTTCAGGGAACCTTTAAAAAGGTTTAGAAATTCTAGCCTGCTTGCTAGAAGCCTTACAAAATATTGCCATAACGTTTTCAGGATCCTTCTTTAATCTATTTTTCGAACTTTACAGTATTTTGAAAAAAGATAGATTGCGAACTAGCAAAAGTTAGCATAAATCTTTGAATAAAAAAAAAAAACAAAAGAAAAGAAAAAAAAATGGATAATTTATATCTATTCCCCGATATTTTCTTGTTTTTATATTTATTTCATAAATTTTCACGTTGTTCTCCGAAATTAACTTGGAGGAAACTTGTTTCTAATACAGGCATTGGCAAATCGATTGTTAGGTCTGAACTTGTAGATTACGTTGCTGATCGATTTCGTCATCGTTTTCGCATGGCGAATATAAACAAGAGTAAGTCACTTTGATGTTTTATCATTTCTAATCATATCCAAATCGGAACTAACATGTCAAACGAAAACAACGGCACATATCTCCAATATAGCAAATAGTCTCACGATTTTAGAAGGCGCTGCTAACGTACGTAGACACAGCATCACCCTACCAAAGGCAAGAACACTGCTATCAGAAGCATACTACGACCGATAAGCAAGCAATCGACCAAACCGACCGTTTTCAGAGAACCAAGCTGTATCTTGGTCGGCATTCTTGACTGATTCCCTACTGAGTACGAGGTGTTGTAACCGGCGAACCTTCATTTACATTGCACCCGGTGTTACCATGTGTAACGTTCCGTGACGCGGGTCTAAAATTAACTTTCAGAGTTTCGTCCCGTCGCTTCGTTATCATCCAACCGGAGGCCGCCCCCCACGCGTGAGCGCAAAAGTCGTTCAACGAGGGAGCGAAAGACGCGGCGCCTGCATCTCCGCCGCGTCTCCGAATCGCAATTTAGGAATGCATTTGATCGTCGTCGGCGGCGACGTATTGATCCCCTTTAGACATTCCCTTACGCTGGCGCGCGTCCGCATCTCTTACGTAGACGCAAGATGAAAAAAAAACTGACGGAGGGATGGATGATGGTGTCTGGTATTGGCCGCGGTCGCGTGATCGATCGAAGGCCGGAAGGAGGAGATGGTACATACCGCTCTCTTTCGCGCGGGAAAAATTTCCGCTCTCGCACCATGAACGCGGAACTACTTAACTTAAAAGCCGCTAAAACGGCGATGTACCTACCAAGGACGGGGGCGCGAAGAGGGAGAAGGAGAAGGGGAAAAATGAGATTTGCCACGAGAAAACATAATATTCCTGACATACGGGGGATGAGATTTTCATAAAAATTTTAAGTATAGTTTTGTGAAGCTTCGTCACTTTAGAAAATGTAACGTTTTTTATAATTATGAGAAAGCTTTATATCCATATTTTGCGACAATCCTCGCATCATCGTTGTCACAAATGCGTTTTGCTTTCGCTTTCTTTTAGTGTTTATAGCACTTTTATTATTAGCTTTGTTTATTAATCTATTATTAGCTGCGCCGTATATAATATTCAAAGTTTATCGAGAAAACGTATTAATAACTTCGAGTGAGTACTTGAAGTTATCTTAAACAAAAACAAAAAAAAAAAATTATTTAATGTCAATCTTATCTTACACATGTATAAAACAAAATTAAAAATTGTGCGTAAATATTTAATAATCCATAATTATATTAATATGTTGTGTGTAGATTCAAGAATTCTTATTTAATATTAACGGTACTAGTAACATTGAGGCATGATACACTAAGCTTGAAAAATGTCAAATAAACAAATTTGAGACAAGTTTTTTTGTGTAAATGTGATAAATAATCATTTCTGAATTTTATAATACCGCTATAAATTAAAAGCTGTTGCCGATCTACTCATTCAGTTGCATCATATCGAAATGTTCAAGTGTTCTTTCAGAGTCACGGGAATTTTTCTTTAGAAGTAGCTTACACTTGTGTTTTTGTTAATGTATATAATATGTGTATAAGTTTTCTTGATATTTTTTCAAAACATAATTTTACGGCCATCTCTTAACATTGCTGTCTATTATTATATAGATATATTATTAGATAAATTTTAGCTTATTTTCTTTACGTGATATTTATTTGTAATTTCTTATTTTATTACGATTTTTGCTTTTTCTTTCTTTGCGTTGGGGGAAATCTACCTCAATTATAACGCAATTAATTAACACATCCACCTATAATTTTTAATTATTCCATTATAACTATTAGAATCAACATTAAAAAATCATTACATCATAATGTTTTCTCAGTGGAGCTCATGCTGCGGAGTCAACGTTTGCAACTTTCCGTCATCGCGATCATTCATACAACTGTTCGACCGTAGCGCGTCATAGTCATAATGACGCCGCTGTGATCATAGCAAAGGATCGCGACAACATCGGCGGGTCATTCGCACGCAGGATCACGAACACGAGCTCCGACGTCGCGACGTTCGTACGATGGCTCAACCACCGCGTCGGCGTCGGCGTCGGCATCGGCGTCGGCGTTCTACGACGGTGGCGGCGTCGGCGTCGGCGTCGGCGTCGGCGTCGGCGTCGGCGGCGGTGGCAATCTGAGTGCCGCGAGTTCGTCTCTCCCTCTCGACTTCTGCCAATCAATAACCGGCGCATCGACTCGCTCCGCTCTCCTTCCTTTACTCTCTCTCTCCCTCTCTCTCTCTTTCTCTCTCTTACTCCCTCTCTTTCTGTCTTTCATCTTTCTTCCCTTTCTCTTATTCCTTTATTTTCTACTTTCTTCTCTTTTTGCAAAACTGTAACAAGCACTTTAACATTCTCTCTTCGTTTTCTCTCGTCATCTTTCTTCCTTTCTCTGTTTCGCTACTTTTCTTCTTTGTATTTTTCTATCCTTTTCTCTCACCTTTTTCCGCGTCCGCGCCTGCGAAATACGCACAACGGAATTCCTGTCAGCGCTGTCAGCGCAATCAGCAACATCAGCGATAGAGGCAGACGTAACGACAGCATCATCATCGGTCCGAGCCAACAACAGCAGCAGCAGCAGCAGCAGCAGCAGCAGCAGCAGCGGCACTCAAGCTAGCCACGCTAGCGTCTCGTATAGTACCAACAGGCGCGCGAGTATCTATTTATAATTTCGTCAAACGTAACGGAGGACGAAAATCGAACGTCATACCGCGTACGACCACCTACGCCAGCTGCGAGGAAAGCAAGTGCCGAGTGTGAGATCGGCGCTGGTCGGAGACCGCGAGCGTGACGCGGCGCGGCGCGGCCGCGCCTTTAAACCGCGTAGCCGAAAGACGTAGTAGGTCGATCGCGTGCGACATCCTCATTGTCCTAAAGTTCAAGGATTCGATCCTAGTTTGTTGACCGAACGGACGAATTTTCCGAATTCGACCACGAGACTTGCGCGTATCTCCATGGAGTGCGGCGGATTCGCTCATCATCCTTGAGCGAGTGCCATCGACAGCAAAGGGATCCTCCGCTTCCTATTTCTCTCCGCGACGAATCTTGCATCCGCGCACCCTCGTCTATCTCTTTTTCTCTCCTATCACGACACCGACCAGTCGATCCGCGCGCGCGGCTATCCCGTCGAGAGAGAGAGAGGAGGGTGGTGGAGGGCGCCGCGAGAGGGTGACGACGGTAAAGTGATATCGTGACGCGGGTGAAATATCGACGAAGAGGATCGACGAGGAAACGATCAGCGGCATCGGGAAGCGGAAGAAGTCGGGAAATGGGCAAAGTATCATGCGCAACATCGACAACGTAACCCTACGCACATTGGGGTCCGTCGCAGTTGAGTGTCGTCGCGCGACGTCGCCATCATCGTCGGCGTAGTAGCGCCTCGCCCGAGGCGAGGAACCCGTTTGGCGACCGATCGGTTCGTGGTGCGCGTACCTATGTGTCCGTCCGGGAGTCCGTAAAGACCTCGCGAGGACGACGTGAGCTTAGGGCTGTTACGTTATTCGGCAGAGGTGCGCGCTGGGAGCATGCGGGCTTCGGGCGAGGCCCGGCGAGGCGGTCCCGCGGGTGGACCGGGCTAAAGGAACGATCGCATATCGGGAGGGACACTCGCGAACGCGGGCACGGTGCGCCCGCGGCCGTGCCCGCACCCGCATCCCCCTATCTCAGCGTCGCGCCGGCCACGCGCCGATCAGGCTGATCCTAAGGACGCGGGAAGCGAGCTGGACTCGCTTTCGTACGCATGGAACATGATAGAGGTGAGAAGGGTTGCATTCGTATTATCATTTTTTTTTTATTTTGTCGTAGAAAGGATGTTGAAGATCAGCAGGATCGGAAGGAACCATGTAATCGCGCTGATCCGTAAGGAAATTTAACTGCAGCAGCCTTATTCGTTTTACGATGTAGTAAATCGGAACGCAATAGTATTCTTTGCCTAGATGTGCGACAAATATACTAACAAAATAAAATTTTTTAAATATGAAGTTTTAAAAAAGAATTGTAATTTTGTACATGTACGAATATTTTTCTAATTTAGAAACATGCATATAAATAACAAGATTGATTTTAATATTGCAAACCAAAATTGCATTTTATCACGTTTAAATAATCTTAGACGCTGGTAAAATTAAATTATAGTATTGTAAATTTGTAAATCCTGAAATAACAACGCGCATGGAAAGAGGGAGAACGCGTAATAACTTTATTATCACTTGTTAGAATCTTGCTCAAAATGTTTGCAGCTTACCGTTCACGCACAGCACAACAAATTCATTTATATAGATATGCGCGCATACACTTTCCCCGATCGAAGTAAATTTACAAGATTATCGGACGCAGCGCTTGTGGGAGAGGAAAGCGGGGGTTGTAGCTGCACGTGCTCCGCGATTGCGTGCTGCACGAAGGCAACACGCCATTGGGCCATTGACATGTTGACACGCAGCTATGCGTAAACACTATTGCCGTTTCAGAACCACTTTAAACGCATTGACGACGTTTGAAACTGATTGTAAGGCTACGATGGCGAAAACAATGTCCAAAATTGTATCCGAAAATGTCTATCATTCCCGTGTCAAAATATACTAATCTGTACTAGAGTATCATTTTGTTTATTATTTTAAATAATTGATTGATAATCAAAATTAATCTTTAATCTGAACAAATATGAATTTCGATTAACGAAATGATTTTTTTATTTTAAAAAAATTTTATACATATATTCCATTGTGTGGACGATTTTGCTTACAGATATACAGTTCTGCGTGCAACTTAAATGTAAATTAAAAGAGTTATATGCGCCATTAAAACTTATGTAGAATTCATCGTTAGCATCAATCGCTCAATTCCAAGTGTTTACTCGTGGTGTTCTCTAGTATAAACAACGATTTGTTTCCATCACGTCTGCCAAAACAAATCGCACTCGGAGATTATCGAAATTTATATCGTTATACTATCGTAACTAGTGTCAGATTTTCGGAGATACGAACTGAAATTCATTCTGTGTATGTAAACAATCGCGTGTTTTTATGAGGGAGCCGCTCTAAATACGGCTTTTGCACATGTTCTACGACTTCCGGTCTCTATTTTCCGATCATCCCAAATCACCGCGCCGATTTATATTGCGCTATAAGCAATTAAACGGTTCCCTGTTCAATCTCAATGATCCCGATTGCTCCACATACCCTTCTCTTTCTCTCTTTTCCCATTTCTCCTTTTCTCTCTCTCTCTCTCTCTCCTCTCTCTCTCTCTCTCTCTCTCTCGTTCTAACGCAGCTGATTCGTATGCGTCGTCACGTTTACTTGCGGCTACGTGTACACTTTACACCAGTGCCCGCTGTTTATCAACCTCTGCCCACATCCCATATAAGCGACTGTCCGATGTGGTCGTTATCGCGTGAGGCCGCACGGAGAGCAGGTCATCGATATACAACGTGGCGTAAAAATAAAGGGCTGTACGCGGTTACGTGCATCGTACAAACAACATATCTAAAGTTCATCCCGCGAATATTTTTTTTTTTATGTATGGGAAGAAATGAACAGGCCTCGCTGAATATTTCTTCAAGGTTCTCTTGTTGTTAAAATAAAATCTCTATATTGAAATAAAATCATGCGTGAGTTTCGTTTTCCATTGATTGCGAAATATTTCTCTCGTGTTTCGAATATGAAAAATGAATTCTCAATTATGCTTGATTCCAGGATACTTTATATCTGATTTTGATAATTAAGATAAAATATTCTCTTGTTGATATTTGTTATCGTGATAAAATATTTCATGAATTATATATATATATACATCAATATGAAAACGGACTAGACTATCGATTTGCGTTGGAAATTAGGACAGAAGCTAGAACGCGCGATTGAGATATCAAATTTATTTGAGAAAGGATCGGGAACGTACTGATTTCGAATTGAGATCGTTCTTAAATATGGCATTAACGGATTAATTAATCTCCTTAGACTTTCTCTGAGAACCCAATATCGATTAGCTCAGCCGTCTGGCGATCATGAATTTTAAATACCGGAGACCTCGAACTGAACGACGAACGGAAGAATAATAAATCTCTAGCTACATCTCTCATCTCGATATCACCATCGTCGGGCCGCGCTGAAAATACGAGCCAATCGATACGTGCAGCTGAGCGTACAACAATCGTATACGAACTAATTGGCTGCTTTTTGAAGGCTTATGTGTCAATTATCGTACAGTCAGTTTATTTCGATTAAAACTTGACGATTTTTTCGTGTTGATAGATAAATCGATTGCCATGTCTTCCCCAAAATTTACATGGGTTACTTCAATCGGGATTTAATGATTACGGTTCTGAACGCTAATCTGATTTCATTTCGGCGTATCCAGTGCATCCATCCTTCTCCCGAAATTTTTTCAAGTTGCATTCTTACGCGATTTTCATAGTCATTTTCGACTTGCAATAATAATAGCTCTTTCATCTCTTTATGGCAAGTTAAATATATCGGCATGAAGATATAAAAAGAATAGAGCATATGACTATTAATATCAATTAATGATTATAACTATATATGCAGGATTATTTAATTTGATTACGTTACACATCATTTATGTGCAATATCAGGTTTACCGCCTCCGCATTAAAGAACGACTCCATATTATTAATATCCATATCCGAGCGCATGTTTCTAAAAAAAGTTAATGTCAGTCACTTTTCACACAAATCACAAAGCCGTTTACTAGTTCATTGTGTTCCGGAAGCCGTTGATTTAGTATACCTATTCTTATATAGTATGATAAGCTCGTTCGCACGTGGTGCGTCGATTCAGAGGACGAATGTCGATTGCAGATGTCGAGTGGACTCGGTGCAACTGCAATGGGGATTGGCGTTAGTCACGGGACAGGTGGCGAAAGTGTAGCTGGTGGTTGTCGTCTCCGTGCACAGAATCAAGGCCAGGCCTCGGGATCCACGATGCAGCATAGTAATCCGCAGCAGTCGTCTCAACAGCAGCAGCAGTCACAACAGCAGCAACAGCAGCAGGCGCCTGCGTCACAGCAGCAGTCGCAACAACAACGCCAGACGGTCGGATTCATGGGCCGATCGAAGAAGGACAACTGTTGCCTATGCTGGTGCTGTTGTTGCAGTTGCTCGTGGTATTATCGATCCTGCCCGCTTGCATTTCGTGTACATCGATACGATTGATTTTAAAAAAGACTGCTGACCTGAAAAATCAAATGACATTTTTTTTTTTCTAAGCGCTCTTTTACATAATATTAATCCATCTTTAATAATAGAGTTTATTTATAATGCAAGTTTATTTCACGCAAAAATTATCTCTTTAAAAATATGTATAAATACAAAATCTGATCGTTTATGTCTTTTGTCGTTGACGTTTCTTATTTGCTTTTTATCAATTTGTTCTTATTTAATAATGTTACGTTATATCGATTTAACTTGTCACGAAATGAATACACTGATGTACGAAGCGTTTTACTAAATTATAATTAATAGTACTTCCCTCTCATTCACATATACATACACGATAATGGACAAATCGTTTATATGCACGAAGAGTAGACTACCAAATCGTGCCAAGTATAACTTCGATTCTCCGTTTTGCAACTGCATACTCGCGACAGCGAGTATGACTGACAAAGCAAATCAGCACAAAGAGCTCTCATTGTAATCACTAGTGCAAGGTAGATGAAAACGAGTAAAACGCGCCATTATCGTTATCGTGCGCGTGGCTATTTTCATGCGTACTTCATCTACTGAACCTCTCGTCATTGAAACGATATCGGTCCATTGTCTTTAAACTCGCGTGTATGATCCATTTATTGCCGTGCAGACGTATCTACATATTACCTTTCTGTGTTTCACGCTACAAGTAGGAATAAATGGTAAGCAGGCCACGGACTGTGTGCGTTAATGCTACTTGTTTGTTATGTCGATGACGATGCTATCGTAATGCACGTATTACGGCTCAAAGAAACGGGGTTATGCACATACCACGCGTCCTTCCTCCGCGACCCATCTTTGCAGATTATACGCGAATAGATCCTATTCATTCCGGACTGGCATCGACCCGAAAGAGTTTGCCTCAAATGCAGCAGCGTTTCCTGAATTGCCACCGCGGAAATATGTTCACGATTATGTATACTTGACTGTTTCGTTATATTGGGGCGAAGAAATATTTAAAAACATGTATTTTGAAATGTAACGGTCTATTTGATTTAGCGCCATCCGCAATTTGCCACTTGCTTCATATTATGCAACAGATATATATTTTTCTTTAACCATCGAGAGCATTAAACCTATTCTTAATGGCAGTCTAAAATATTGAAGCTTTATTCAAAAATAATAACATGTCCGAATACACACGATTTTTATTAATTGCGTATTTTATCGGTATATAATTATAACAAAGGAACACATTTTTTTTTAAGAAATTATATTGTTGACATAAAATTTTAACAAACTATAAGCTAACAAACGTAATGTTATTGAATTAACTTGTGAAATTAATCAAAAAAAGAAGTAGCTTGTAACTTGTTAATATTTTACGTTAAAATTAATAACACGTTAAGATTAATAACACGGGGAATATATCATAAAAATGCCAGATATTATTTTCTTATTTAATCATGGAAACATTTTTAGAAATACATACAGGTTTAATGGATTCAAAACGGATGGGGGGGGGGGGGGAGGAGGGAGCAGAAAGAGAGTC